CGGGCCACTGTGACTACTGCACCTCTTGAATATAGCGCTGACGAGGTAGTATTTGTACTGCATTTGGTACTGCTATGCCTGTGGGTTTTCTGTCCTACCACCAGACAAGATTGAAATCCACTCAAGAGGTCACACCAAAGTGGAATTTTCATGTCATGATATTGGATCTACTGCTACAGAGACCTACAAAAAAAAAGTCCCCGGTTGCATTTGTTGGTTAAATGGAATATTTTTGTATATGCTTTTTGGATTTCAGCACATACGGATAAACAGGATGCAATGTCGTCTGTTACCTCTCCATTTTCAACTTTTGGTTCTATTTCCCTTCACACCGACAAACTACGAGCCCTGTAATGCAATATAACATTTGCTATACAGTTTTATATTCCATCACAGTCAACAAAAAGCATTGCGTTTTGGAGAAAATGATGGTAATGCTGGTTCCAGTCCAATTGTTTTTGTTGGCACCTCCAGCACAGAAAATGCAGTCGCTGTCACACACTCTGTCTTGTTTATTTCTTTGTTTGTTTCTTGATTTCGTTCCATTTGGTTTGGTTTTTCTAGTAAAAACATCAATGAACCTTGCTTTTTCTGTGTGGTTATTTATTGAGCTGCAAACTTAAGGACTTGTGCAGAGTTGTTTTAGCTTTCAGAGGAGGATGTCACAATTTGTTATTCTTAAAGGTGCACTATGTAACTGTTGGAATGTCTGTCACCTACTTGTCTCTATGGTGATGTTAATGCTTTGCCTAGAATATTCCACAGTATGGCATGAAGCTTTTCTACCTGACCTTATCTGTGACTTGGAATTGAAGCATCAGCTGCTTGTCTCCTTGTAGACAAGTTAAGTTGCATATAGTGGTTTCAAGTCAAATAATATTTCCATGAAGATTGGTGAACTCTTTTTCCATAAAAGTTTTGATTTGGATTTAAATCTGGCTTATCTGGCTGGTCCTGTATTACAATAAATTGACTCATGTGAGCTTTAAACCATGTTAAAATGTTGTTATCTCATTAAAAACATACCTAGAGTTGTGTTTTGAGAGAATAACCCTGCATTATTATTCTGCATCCCAAAGCTCAAAATGCACTATACCACTGGGAGGTCAAGAAGTAGTAGACTCATCAGCTGGTTTCACTTTGTGGAAATCATCTGACCTTGCAACATTAGGATTCGTTCACTCGATGGTAGGCAGGTACTTTTTTATTTAACCAATCACTGCTATTTGGTCGTGACGTATGAACGCTCAGTGGTGTCCAAGTAATTGCTGGCACAACAACAAACAAAGCAGAGAGTGAACATGTCTGTCAATGATCATTGTCGTTTCTGCGAGATCAACTTGTGAATTAAAGGTGCAATAAAAAATGCGAAGTTTGTGTTTGACAATGGAAGTCCAAAGGAGGATACTGTATGCAGTCTGCTATTGCAACTTGGGTTGGTTCAGCTCTTCGCTGATTGGCCGGCGGGATTTCTTCAACTTCTGGGGTTCTTGCAAACAATCTAGTGTATTCTGATTCCTGACCTAGTCGCTGGAGAGAAATTAAATTGAACAGAGGCACTACGTTGTGCCAACTTGGCTAAAGAAGTGATAGTTTTCAAGTTAACAGAAATTCCAGGGCTAAAATCATCCAAATCGTTCTAGTGAAAGTGTATGGAATTTAAAAACACTCTCCTGACACCTTGACATCACAAGGGTCAACAAAGTGTTTTTCATTTGAAAGAAGAACTCAGCCTAAATACACAGGATTTGTGTGTTAAACGTGTAAATGAAACAAAACACAACTCATGGTATGTTTGAGATGAGGAAACATATACATCAGAAAATAGCTCAATATAGGTCCTTTAACATCAGCTACTTCATTCATTCCATGTGATCCCCTCTGCAGATGCACTCACATGAACTGGGACACATCACCTCTCGATCTTAATCAGCATTTATAGAGTTAAAGCCCCTCTCTGCTCTCATCACTGGAGCTGCTGTCTTCAGTCCACTGAGACCTCACACTCCTAAAGCAGAGCATCACATGACATGCATTTGCCATTATTCCCCCTCTCTCTCCAGCTCACATACTTGTACAACCACACAGACAGACACATCATCCCTGCTGGGTTATTACGGACAAGGATTTCCCATTTCCCCCAAGCTCAGGTAAAATGACAATTTGGAGGCGGACCTGGCTGACACCCTTTTAACCTTGATGTGACAATGATGTCATAAGAGCACACACCTTCAATTTGCTTGTTTCTACAGAGCTGCTGAGTAAAGGCAGTTTTACTTTTATTTTTATTTCCTTTGCTCTGGGATGCTGACCCTTTGTCTTACTTTTGGCACCCCACTGCCATATATTTTAATCATCAAATATCTGTTGCTCAGTGTCTCCTTCAAGTATACTTAAAAATGATATAAAAACTTAGAGCCACACCCTAACAACATGGGCATGGTTAATATAACAGCAATTTAAAGGTCCATTATGTAACTTTTCTGACAGAGGGTCTGCCAGCTGCTTGTCATCATAGAAATGTTAATGATTTACCTGGAATATTGCAAAGTAAGATAATAGACTATCTTGTATCTATTCAATTACAGGTGAGATATCTGAAAAACATGATGACTGTCAGTGTCTGAATGACTGTGAATCTCCATAGACCTCCATAGGCCTTTGTTGCTGTCACTTGTGCTAAAGGTCCTATATTATGCACAATTTTACTTCGAGCAATGTTATGATTTACATTTAATCCTGGCTTTTAAAAGGTCCTATATTACGATAAATTGCCTCTTGTGAGTTTTAAGCCATATTATAATGCTGTTACTTCCACAAAAACATACTTGTAGTTTCATTCACACATGTTTGAGTATCCCTTTACTATTAGTCTGTCTATTTCCAAAGCTCAAAATATTCTGTTCAATACCATTAGGCCTATTATCCAAATCAGGGGTCTCCAATGTTTTTCCTCTAGTGAGCTACTTTTACAAAATGAAAATGCCAGGGAGCTACTTATTTTAGCAGTCACAAAGAAACTAAGTAGCCTAAGACTAAGAGCCTTGGCAAGCCTTAGACGCAGAACAGTTAGATGCCTCTATAACAGGCATGTCCAAACTATGGCCCGTGGGCTAAATGTGGCCCTCAGACAAATTTTTTTGACCCTCAGGCTTCCAGGTGAATTGGCCAAAATTACATTCCATCAATTAAAAATGTACTTTTTCCTTTTTTTATTTTATTTTTTTATTTACCTTAATAAAGCTAATATTTAATATTTAGTGTCTTAGCATGAATAAAGACTGATGGCTCATTCTAATGTGTTAAACATGCACATATTTCAATTACTCACTGTACTGAGCACCAGTCTATGGCCCTCGATTGACCCTCTGCTTTAGATATGTGGCCCTTGATGAAAAAGGTTTGGACTCCCCTGCTCTAAAACATAAGCCATTATCCATTTATCAGTGCACAAAGTTAGACATGAAAATAATACATTTACAGTGGTAATTAATGAATTTTTACTTATTCAGCACAGCACATAGAATTCAGAAATCCCTTGGCAAGCTACTCTGAAGGGCGTGGCGACCTACTGATCAAAATGATTCTAGTGAAAGTGTCTTGAAATTAAAAACACAGTGGAACCCTTCCAGTATTACCATATGACATCACAAGGTGGAACAGAGTGCTTTCTGTTTGAGAAAAGAACGCAGGGTTAGTGTGTGAAACGTGTGAATGAAACAGAACGCAACTTCAGGTATATTTTTGAAGAGGTAACAGCATAACATTATAACATGGCTTAAAACTCACAATAGTCAAATTTGCATATTATAGGAGGTGACAGGTGACAACAAGAGAGGCCGTGGAGGTGTCTGGTGATGCGACTACATTCACAGTCACCATGTTTTTCAAGATATCTCACCTGTTTGTAAAGGTAGTCTTATCATACTGTCCAATATTTTTGATGAGGAAACAACAACATAGAGCAGAAGATGGTGTTATATGGCCATTTATGTTTAATTCTGTACTGTGGATCATTCCAGGCAAAGCTATAACATCTCCATGGAGACAAGTAGGTGGCAAAACAGAAAAGTTACATAAAAAGGATGATGTGAAATAAGATGGCTTGATTGGTGTAGATAAGAATATTGCTCTCCTCAAGTTAAAGGTATATTTCTATGTATTTCATTCTAACAAGTGCTTAAGTAAATGCAGTTTCAATCTAGTAAAACTGGCAGCTTTGGCAGAGTGCATTAGTGTATCTTGCTATTTGTGCAAGTGAATCAGCAGCCTCTTGGCAACATCAATATTTCTTCAATCGGGCAAAGACACTGCATTTCTTATTACTTTCATTTGTCCTGGCTTTATAGAAACAGTCTCAGATAAGGGACAGACTTCTCAGTGCATAAGGCTTCCATCTCTGACAGACAGCCAAATAACTTAGAGGGAGAAAAATAAACTTATCTTTATGAGCAGATTGACAGAGCAGAGGAGCACAGGTGACGGCTAAGCTTCAAATCGGCGTTCATTCTATTCTTATAGTAAACTGTTTTGTGATTTTTGCTGCTCAAGTAAAAGAAATTTCCAAATCTTACAGTGTCACGGTGTTACATCACTTCAAATTGTGTTTTTATGAAGTTCGCGAAGCCTAATGCCATAAGCGTTATGCTCTCAAAGTGATTTAGAACACTCACTCTTTCCATTAGCCGGCCTGGATCTGATAATAGGTCTGCAGTAGTGTGAAATGAAAACAAAAACACAACCATAATGTCTGGAAATAAGAGCGCCACATAAGTTTATTTACAAACTTAAACCCATACAAAATGACAGAGAATGAAGAAATGATACAAGCAACATTAGAAACACTTGATCATACTATTCAAAAACCAACCAGTAAAATCAGGTTTTAAAAGACAGAGGCAGAAATGACAACAAAATAAATAAAAAATATTAAAATGCCATACATCGGTTCATAATAAATACATTTTTTGCTCTTTACATTTCTGGCATGCTCACTGTCATATCATCATAAAGCATTACATCATAATCTTTTTACTCTGACAATAGAACATCTATAGACTGGACCACTCATGTAAACACTGGACACAAAGAGCACATTATTTTTCTCTCAGTAAATTATATAACCCCCAAATACTTTTATACACTCGTAGGGGTGTGCTTTCATATACTTTAATCCACAAAATATAAATGCTTTTGGAATTGGGCTGATGTATCAGATGACATATAGCTCTATGCAAACAAAGTCTAAAATGTCACTACTGATTTATCAGTGGTACAAACTAAACAGTTAAATATAAGGTATCATTAATGGATTTTAGTCATCATACAAAAATTGTGCTCTGTTCTTGGTGTTGGTTTAGAACCATATAAAGTATTATAGAAAAGATCTATATAATAACAACTCTGTGGTATGCAGATACTAAAACCTCTATTTTAGCCTCTTTTTGAGCGCTTAGTATTCATCTAAAGGAGAGGCCAGTTGCACACACTAGAGGTAGCTTTTTACAAATTCGATACAATTTTGACAATTAAAATGACGAAAATAATCCTGACTGGTGGATGAGAGAGCTTATTTCAGTGCAAAAATGAAAGCAAATTGATAAAGCATTAGGAAATGCACTGAACTGTTTAAAAAAACGCCCCAAACATGCACTGAACAAGACACTAGAGACAGTCTTTCATTAAATCAAATACACCATGAAGGAACGAACTTCAGCCTTTGTTTGCATATGATGCAATTTCTATCGTGTGCATCATTCAAATACAGAAAAATGTATTGTATCAGCCCCTCTGTTAGTGGCTCTGGTGGTCCATATGCAGCTGCATTCTCTCCTTCTCCACATGGAGGCGCTCTCTCTCAATCTGCAGTCGGCCCGACTCAAACTTAAAGAACTGTAGTCTCTCCTTCTCCAGCTGGAGCCGCTCCTGATCTAACCTCATCCTCTCCGCCTCCAGATCCACCAATGACAGCCAGCCTTTGCTCTCTTTCCCCTCCCCATCCCCGATTGACCCATCCAGATTGGAGGACGTGGAGGAAGTGGGCGGGCCCTGTTGTGGCGGCAGATTGAAGGACGAGTCGACATGCTCTGATTGGTTGATAAGCATGAGCCTGAGTCTCTCCCTCTCCACCTGTAGCCTCTCTTTCTCCAGCTGCAGGCGTTGGTGTTCTGTTTCGTGTTGACGGAGACGTTCTTTCTCCACAGCTAAACGCTCCTTCTCCACCACCAACCTCTCCGATTCAACAGCCAGACGCTGTTTTTCCACCTCCAACCTCTGCTTCTCCACAGCTAACAGGATCCCACCGGGCCCCATGCTGTCGTTCAGGGTGGTCCCAGGCAAAGAGTACCCTAGCAGGCTGTTGAGGGTGACATCTCGAGTGGTGGGGGTGGTGGAGGTTGGACCCTTGGATGAGCTGAGGATGCCCTGGCCACTGTTGGAATAGATCTCAGCAGCATGGCCATCTCCACGTGACTCAATGTCACTGAGAAGGGAAGGGATGTCATCATCGTCTATCTCTCCATCTCCCACTTCTCCATCGCAGTCCAGCTGGAGGCACAAATACAAAAGCGTTTGTTAAGTTGTTACTGAAAATTTTCAAATGAATCCCTACATAATAGAAATGTGTGGTAATCAGGTGAAAGCCTATGGAATATTCAAACAATTTACAGTAATTTATTTCTATACATTTTTATTAAGTCACCTTTGCACCGAATGTATATTTTCTGAGAAGAGCAGTAATGTGTTTTTTAAGCTTCCTTTTTGCAATGTAGAGTTTAAGTGGTGCAGTGGGTCAGTACACCATCTACTGGATCATACAGAAATGACAGGTTTGACAGACAGCATTTACAGCGTACTATATTTGTGAAAATGTGAAAGATGACAATTTGAAGCTGTCTTTTAGTCTGCCAGCTTTAATTTACATTAAACCTATATCAACATATTTATTCAGTTGTTTAGCATAAACATGACTTAAAATGAAATAGTGCAGGTGTTTTTTTTATATAAATAAAACAATCATCTTGAAATACACTGAGTAATTTTATTCCTGAAATCAACTAGATGCTTCACTATTTTCAGTGCATTAAAACAAAATAGCACCATTTTCTATGTGCCTAATCAAAAGACTGAATTAAAATGGCACTTGATCTCCATAATGCGCTGGCATAATCAGTATTATGTATCTAACATCACTGGCCCTTCACGCACTAATTAAAGTGATTATCACATTAGCCTCTTGCATCAATAAAGCCTATTTGTCTTCTAATAAGAGAAAGAGCAGAGTGAATGGATCAAATCAAAAACAGTTTATCATAGTTTGCCCTCATTTATATTAATCTAATTTAATCAGGAGATCCTCATAAACTAGCTGTATATAGCAGTACTTACTTACCCTGTATTCACACACGTCCTCTTCCATCTTGACACCCAAAGGTGGCATCATGGACTGGCTGCCTTGGTCGCCCAGCGTGAGCTCAGGCCAGTCACAGTGGGTGTCTTTGGGAAGAGCTGAGAGGTCCAACAGCTGGTCCCAGGATGATGTGAGGGACCCGGCCTCTGGCGAAGATGGCTCATACTCAGACTTCAGGGCGAGTGAAGAAGAAGAGGAGGAGGAAAGGGACAGCTCGGCCTGGAGTTGCTTCCGCTTCATCAGGGAACGCCAGTCCAGATAACGTCGTTTTACCTGGGAATCAAAAACGAAAAAAGCTTGAATCAAAAAAATTATAATTGGAAAATATAGAAAATTCAGCACTATGAAATTTCTGTGGACAAGTCCATCACCTGCTTTACTTTATGGAATTGTTTTTGCTTTTCCTTGGGTATTCCACATTGTAGCATTAATTGTATCTATTTACATACTATTCAAAACTAGGCCAAAGTACAGTTCAGATCTGTAGAGACGACCTCACTCATAGTAAGAATGCCTGTTTTTTCAACGTATTAAGACACATTGTAATTGAATCAATGTTGGATAGATACATTTAATACCATACAGTGGAACATGCAAGTAAAAGAACCAAATAACACCTCCATGGAGACAAGCAGATGGCAGCCCACCACCAGAAAAGTAATATAGTGCAAAGAATCTATGGAAAAATTAATTTACTAACTTGAGCAATCGATATTAGAAGCTGATTTTAGAGTAATAACCTTTATATGTGATGAATGCGCCCAATGGGAATCAGCAATGTAATTACACGTGTATAATCCACTCACTTCAGCTGCAGTACGTAGTTCTCCTTCACCAAGTGAGTTGACACCTCGGGCCACTTCCTCCCATGCTTGTCTCTTCAGCTCATTGATGGCTGTATTCTTTGGGGACACAAAGATACAAGGGGACATTACAGCTCTTTATTGAGTACATGAATGCATTTTATACAAGGATGTAATCTACCTGCTGTCTGGAGAACAGGACATTACTCCTCTTGTGGATTTCTCGGATGAGAGTTTGTGTCTCTCTCACACTGTAGTTACTTTTCCTCTTCCTTTTAAGATGCTTCACTTGCAGGAAATCCAGCTTGGCAACAAAGACCCAGAACCAAATACCAGAATCAGGTGGGAGGAAAGAGTGCTCACAGGTCACTGGTGGTATTTGAGGTAAGATTGTGGTTGTTGCTCACTGTAAAAAGCCCATATAGATCTAATAAAACGGCTGCTTTTGTGTAGCAATGTGTTGTGTGACAAAAACAGGTGCCAGCAGACAGTTAAGGGCAATGGGCTACTGTAGGCAGATGTGACACAGGCACAGGTGGAAAGGCAGAATAATCTATGGGGAAAGACACAAACATAAACATTAACTTCCATAATTAGAAGTGGCACACAATACCATTCAACTGAAGAATGATTATTTTATGCACAATGACTGAAAGATGATCACTGGTATGTTCATAAAAATATATTTGTGTCCGAGGCCAAACGATTACATCAGTGTATTAAAATGGTAACAGAATGAAATCGTGTTATAGCCAGCACCAAAATTAAGATGCTATTCTCCTTCGTGTATTCCTGTTTTTCACAAGAAATCGACCATTTACACAAAATATTGACATATTTACCGTGAGATGGAATATTCGCGTAAGCATTGTGCTCATCTTTATAGAAAATAATTGAATGGAAAGTGAAAAACGTGACCATATTCGTAAAACTACTCACCTTACACATCGTAGGTTTACCGCAATCAAAACATCGTAGTAGCAGGGCAATTTTAATGCCGCCTTAAAAGAGATTACGTGACATTTTCTTTGTATGATTTTCATCAAATATTTTCGTGTAACAATACAATAAATAAATATTCAATAAATCACAGTAGTTTAATAATATTGAGTAGTTTAAAAATTTAACATCTTTAGGAGTTTTTAGTGTCCTTTCTTTCTTACTTTGTCTTTTAACCTATCTATCATTGGTATATAGGGCTCCTGTTTTATAACTACTTTTTTCTTAGCATGTGAAGGCATCGCGAGTGTCGCACTACTAGAAACGCTCCCATTGGTCAATCCTCCCACCGCGCCCACGTGTGACGTTATCACGTCTTGTCGGGCACTTCCGGGTGTGTGCGCTCGTCGTGTTTAACTTGAATTACCAACAAAATGTCACAAGTCGCATAAACTAACACAACTGTGGCCGTTCAGATGTGGTTTTAAATGCGTTGGATAGACTTGTGGTTAGTTGTCAACGTTAAGTATGAGAATTTACATATGCAAGACAACTGTGAGAGATGAGTTGTTGTGGAGTTTGGCTGCAGCATGAGAGGAGACAGTGAGGATCAGATGGGTTCTGTTCGGTGGGCTTTTCGTTGTGGGTCGTGGACACCAACCAGATGTGAGTGGCTTTTTGCTGCTCGATGCATCCAGCCCGAAGAGAAGGAGAGGATCGGACAGTTTGTCTTCACCAAAGATGCAAAATCAGCGATGGTAAAGCATGTGTTCTCATCTAAAGCTCCAGTATGTCTGTATCTGTCCTGATGATGCTGCTCTGTGCTGGTCAGGCGGGCAGGTTACTGCTCAGGAGGTTTGTGTGTGAGAAGATGGGCTTACCCTGGTCCCAGTTTACACTCGGACGCTCTCCAAGAGGAAAGCCTTATCTGGCAGCTCCTCTCCAGGTACATGATCTTTTATTTCAAATACAGGAAACAGCAAAACCATACTTTAGACATTAGGACCCCTGCCCTAATGTCTCAAGTATGGTTTTGTTGTTTCCTGTTTCCTACTCAAATTCACAGAGGGCCAAAATTAAAAACTGTGACTAAGTCGTGGGCCAAAGTAAATATTTTTTGAAAAATTTAAACAACTTCTGCATGTTGGCTCCTCTTTTGAGATATGAATTTTAAACCTTTTCTTATTAAATTAAATGTTTATAATAATAATAGTTTTCCTTTAAAATTGAGTTCAGAACAAGCATAATATAAAAAAGTAGTAACAAAATTTTAAATAAATAATGTCTCTATAGCCTATCTGTAGCCAGCGAGCCAGTTCTAATACATATTTGATATGATCTCGTGGGCCAAATATAATTATATCGAGTTTGACATGTCTGCATTAGGGCATTTGTTGAGTACTACTTTATAACAAAATTGTACAACAAAATTACAAGCAAGTTACAGTAGCACCCCTGATTAAGACTTATTTTCCTATTTCTGACAGTTCAGAGAGATGCTGGTTCTAGATTTGGGTTGATCTCATTTGTCTTTCTTTTAATCATCTTTTAATCATATTTCATCATCCTATGTTGTAAATTATAGAAATATATTTGTTTGACCTTTGAATTTTTATATATATTTTTATGTTTTGCTTTTAAAGACATGTATGAATGTATTTATATTCACATTTTCAAAATGTGATAGTATTAAATGAGTAACAAAATAAACTAACTTGAGTTAGACTATTGCATGACTGTTTGCCCATTTGTTAAAATTAAAAGTTGTTATTGTTTTGAACACTTGACTCTTGTGTGCAGGATGACCCAGCCTCCCTCATCTGGAGTTTTAACCTGTCCCATCAGGGAGACTATGCAGTGCTGGCAGCTGAGCAGGGAAAGCAGGTTGGAGTTGATATAATGAAGACAGTCATGCCTGGTAATGACTGTAGATGGAAACTAACTTACAAAATCTGTAATAGCACTTTCATCCACCAGGTGTCAGTGTTGCTTTATGTATAAGAATAAGAACTGCTGCTGTTGAGTGCAGGTGTCAGCATTAGTGTTTGTATTTTTCTGTGTGGGTGATGTTCTTAATCTGAGCCAATAGATGATTTGTAAAACCACTAAGGATACACAACTGCTTTAAATCTACAATAGAACTGCTTGTACTAGACCTGACCATACTTAATTATCTTTCCTGACAAACATTTATTAATTTATTAATTTCCTCTTTGCATTTGCTGTTTCTTGTGTTTCTTGCAGGTAGCAGCTCCGTGCCTGAATTTTTCCGCATCATGACTCGTCAGTTTACCCCATACGAGTGGAGCGTCATCCAATCAGCCGGCTCGGAGCACCAGCAGCTCGCCGCGTTCTACCGGCACTGGGTAACCATGGCAACCGCGGTAGCCTGTAGTCACATTGCACGGCTGCTCCTCTGTGCCCTGCATGTGGTAGTCTAAGGGGGGAAAAACTCATGATAGAATTACATGACTAAAACACATTTGTTTATGCCAGTTTCTTAAGAGTGGTGGTTACGACATTGCCAAGTAAGGATGCTGTGACACTGAGAGGGTGGCTCGGAGACGTCATGCTCTGATCTCATCATTGCACCGTTGACTAATGGCAGAATGCAACGGTTGCCATAGTGATTAGGCTTGTAATACTGTTATTGTTGTTCATTGGCTGAGTCAGTTTTAGCCAGTCACACACATACACACATTGACGACGCATCTTCTTGCACAAACCAGTACTGTAATCCTCTTTTTGTACCCATATCAGACATGTTTTGTGTTAATTCCCATTTGTTCTACTTTCAAATCATCACTATTCTATATATTTTTAGCACGCCCTCCTCTATTCTTTCTATCTAGGTCTAATTATATATTTTGTCTGCTGTTCCACATAGGCCCTGAAGGAGAGTTTTATTAAAGCCATCGGCACCGGGCTTGGGTTCAACCTGCAGCGGGTGGAGTTTCACCTGTCGCCTGAGCCACCCACACAAGCCCTGCCAGTGCGTCTGACAACAATGCACCTGGACGAGGAGGAGCAGGGTGACTGGGTCTTTGAGGTCAGTCACAAAAACAGGCAGTTTACTGGTAAATTGTAAATGTATATTCCCTAAAATTAGTAACCAATTGATTTAGGGGAGTTTGGGAATTGGCTTGATACTCGATATAGATTTTGATACCACAGTGATAATAAAAATGTTCTTTTCAACACAAAGTAATAGTACGTTCTTTATGTTGACATGTGGTCTTATACTAGTTACAGTTAATATCTGATTTTCTGACAATTCTGATTTGAGATGGAGCTACAAGATTGTCATCAAATTGAAATTGCATTTTGTCAAGTCGTAAACGCTGCCATTTTTTAAACAATTCTCCACAAAATAAAGTATTCTGTCTTATTCTGCATAAAACCCATGAACCATGTAATTAAGATATGTACAAACATGTTCAGAAATGTGATTCTTTTATTAGCTGTGAAAATAAGATTCTGTTCAAAGTTCAGATTTTTAAGTCATTAATCGTAACCAGAATGCTTGTCAGAAAAATTGCAATACGATTTTTTTTTTCACCAAATCGTGCAGCCATAGTTTAAGGTCCACATGAAAGTCAGACTCACTGCTTTATTATTGAGAGAATCCAGCCCAAGCAGCTTGAATCCTGGATGTCTTTCTATTGAAGTTCTACCAGAGGACATGCCTGAAGGACTCTGCCTTCTCCTGGAAGCCTGGGAACAATGCACTAATCTCCAGGAGGGGATGATCTCTGGGGACAGGAAGTCTGTGTCGTGTCCACCCCCGGATAGGAAGAAAACTAAAAATGAGGACGGTCAAATGGATCACTCCAAAGGGGCTTAGTCACACTAAAAGCTAAAGTAACAAGTAGCCTTAAACTGCTGTATACGTACTAAAAGTTTTGGTGTTTTACCCTTATATAATTAAATGAACAAGAAAACTTCAAAAAATTTAATACAGACAGGGGGCAGCTACATTTAACAGTGTTAAAATGTAGATTTCTGTGGTAAAATATGGAGCTCTAGTGTCTAGTCACAAATTTTAGCCACTTGGATATTTCAGAGGGAAACTGGGTCTTGCCCTAGAATCTGAAAAACACCAACCACCAATTGATACTTTTCAGTGACATCATGCTGGGGGTGTTCTACATTTATCTCTATCGTGAAATGTTTAGCAGCTACCTTGGTGACACAATGCACACATTAGCGAAAGTTTTAAGATGGTCTGAAAACTCAAAATGTATTTAAACAACACATTTTCAGGAGCCTGGGATCAATACAAGAGTACATGGTCCTGTTTCAGTGTTTGATTTTCAACAACAAAAGTGAGAATGACTAACTAAAAACTGTTGGCTAATACTAGCTAGATTGTGACTGTGATTTTATGTGTGAGAGACTAGTTTAACAGCACAAATATTGTAGTTTCAACTAAGCCAGCTCTTCCTGGTTAGATTGTGTTAAAATAAAGATTGGATTAAAGTCTAAAAGCCTCAGACAGAGCAGTGCTTACAGTTTGCGTTATACCCTGAGGAATGTTGATATCAGCAAAGTGTAAATTTTATTCAGAAAACCTTTTTATAAAATGAGCTTCTTGGTTCAAAGTAACTTGTATAGGTCCCTGGTTTGGTGCACTCCTGGCGGCTGGACCGTAGAAAAGCAGTGACTCACAGGTGGTCATTGGGAGACATGCGCCCAGGGGACTGTGATGGGAGCTAGAAGTGCTCCTCCATTAAAGGTGTGCAGCTCTCTGTGGCAGCACAAGAATCAGACTCCGCTCTTCTTTCCATTTCTGTGCTCCTCTCCTCATCCATCTCCTGCACATCACTCCTGCCTTTGATCTGGTCGTATAGATGATCTTTTTGCTTCTGCACATCAACAAGTCTTACTCCACTGAACAAGAGGATTTACAAGAGGCTGCTCGTCCTCTATGCAGTTCCTCTATGCAAATAATATTTTTATAGAAGCACTTAATTCATTCAGTATTAGAGAAAATAATGTACTGTAAGAGTGAGAAAAGTTGTTATTTACATATTTAAGACTTTTATTGATGCAGTCAAATGGTAAAGGGCAAACTGTATGTTTTGAGTCCCATGCAGTCATTATTACTGAGGCCCAGAGGTCGCACAGACCTGGACTGAATCGATTTCATTGAGAAACATGACTTGTGAAGTGAGCACGTGTCTCTGTGCTCTGTGAGACAGGGTCAGACACACGCGCCTTATTACTGGTTGATGAGAGGTGAGCAGCTGATGCCACCTGCAGTTCACAGTGCACCATGCTGCTTTTTTAGAAGTTCTGGGGTATAAGGGGGAAAATGGAGGTGAACAGACCCAAAACCCTTTTATTACATTTACATTAGATGTGTGTTTGACAGGAGTGCCTGCTGGATGAGGACCATCATGTTGCTGTGGCTCTTGGTGCAGACTCATTGGTAAGGACACCTTTATTTTTGGTGTATAAAAGAACATTCATTATTAAGACTGTGCCAAGTCTATTGATAGATGAAAATATAGTTGTCACGATTCCTCTTCAAGCTCAAATCTAAAAGTGCACTCGCTCAGCACAGCTTCTAATATTGTCATTGTTCAAAGTGTGGTCCCATGTGTTTCAGCCTTCACCTGTTCCTCTGGCCTCTCCCTGCCCTTTCACCCTGCTGTCATTCTCTGAGCTGATTGGCCCAGCCTCGCCCCTGACAGAAGAGGACCCCACCTATTGGGAGAGCTTCAGCACCAAGGTGGACGCTCCACAGAGACAGAGAGATGTGCTCTGACAAGCCTCAGACACAGAGCTGTGCACAGCAGACTAACACACCTTTCACAAGTGCCAGTGTCCAAAAATACTCTGACAAGGAGCCTGCTTCTCATTCAGCTCCAGTCCTGCTCAGACAAAGCCCGCATCACAGCTCGCTCTCAAGGGACGCACACAAACTTTGCACCGCACCACAACTTTTGTTCTTACAGCCACTACCTGGAGGTTCGACTCTAAATATAACCAGTTTGCATAAATCTTGTCTGAAATTATGTCCATTATTTTCATAACTATAACTTGAACTGATGAACTGATGTATTTGTTATTTTGAGCTGAAAGTAAAGGCACTAATCCAATCAAAAGTTATAAAGCAAATCTTTATCATTGAAGGGCCCATATTACACTATTTTTTGATCTATGTAATTATTTGGTTTCCTCATCAAAAACATAGGGTTGTTTTTGTTTCACTTACAAACTCTGCACATTTACTGTATGTTGTGTTCTTTCTCAAACTGAAAACACTTGGCATGTCATACAGGAAGTGCTCCACTGTGTTTTTAAACTCCAAATCTTCACCAGAATATTTAGTATTCGTTTTTTTTAATTGCCAAAAGGTAAAAGTTAGCTGTTAACTGCTTCATGACATCGCAAGGTGAAACAGAGCCTTTTGAGCTTTGGAGATGTAGACAGCCTAATAATGCAGGATTACTCAAACGTGTGAATGAAACAAAACACAACTCCAGGTCTGTTTTTGAGGACGTAACATGGAGTAAATTTTGTGTAATATAGGACCTTTAAATATCATTACCCTGAGGAAGTGCTTACAGGGCCAGACTTACAAAATGATAGATATATGTAACATTTAACATTTGGAAACGGACACAAAGGGAAGGGTCCGTGTTGTGATGGACAGGACATCGGCTGAGAATGTGAAACCACATGCAGATAGGATTAACCTGAGGTCAGTGGAGAAGTGGTGAATATTTATTTATTTATTTGAGATGGGGACAGCGCACATTTTTTACATTAACCTTAACAGGAGAGATGCATTGTACCAGGTTGTAGCATCAGTGCTAATTTCCACCTGTAGTCCCTGGGCAGATTCATCGATTGATTGTATTTAACTGACCTTGGCTATCAACTGTTCTTCCTGGAGACCTATGTAGCATGTATTTTGGGTATATTTGATATGTTCAATAACAGCACATAGCCGTATGACGCAGGGTTAAAGCAGACACTCACCTTTAGAGCCCCCTGCCATTATTCACAGGGCACAAACAAAGATGTGATGCTTAGACTGTTGCTGAATCTCACATGCTGGTTACTGCTGTGGTCGGAACGAATATGAGCATGAGTGGCCATAATACTCCAGGAGATAGAGGTCTTTACAGTGAATGTCAATATGAAAGAGCCTTCTTCATATCTTATTCTGACCATCCTGATACCTAATTTAGGCTTGAGCCATGTTGTAGTGTTGTTTCCTCATCAAAAACAAACCTGGAGTTGTGTTTTGTTTCATTCACACATGTTGGAGTCTACATCTCTAAAGCTCAAAATGCTTTGGAGATGTAGCTTTCCAAATTAACAGCTACATTTTACCTTGTGTTCAGGAGAGATTGGCAATTCCAGGGCTGAAATTATCCAAATGATTCTTGTGAAGGTGTATGGTGTTTAAAAAGACAGTGGAGCACTTTCTGTATTATTACATGGAGCCACAAGGTTGAACAGAGTGTTTTCTATATGAGAGGAATTAGATATACAGGACTTGTGTGTTAAACATGTGAAAGAAACAACATATAATAGGAATATAACAGTAATATGGGCCCTTTAACAGCAATGCCCTTCCATCTTGCCCCCTGTGAGATCATTGGCTCCATAGACAGGTGTGTAATTGTTTGAACTGCCTGGACCTCACGCTGTAGACCCCACCGCTGACCCCTCTGCTCAATAACACACAGTGGTGGAAGAAGTACTCAATTTTGTTACATAAGTAAAAGTACAGATGCCGGGCCAAAAGATTACTTAAGTAAAATGAATCATTCTACTTATGTTAAAGTATTAAAGTACCTGGTTAATAAGTAAAAGTGTTTTGCAGAGTTTTAGAACAATTAAAGGATGAAATGTAGTGATTTTGAAAAAGACTTTACTGGATTTTCAGTGATTCAACTGATTTGTACATTTTTTTAGCTTTTTTGTATTTTTGTGGTTCGCTCAAAGTTGGGACGTTAAAAATAAGTTTGGCCGTTTTCAGCAGGTCTCAAACCACAAACGAAAGTATTTTTTACTTACTGGTCCAGATCTAAAATGTAGTTGAGTAGAAAGTACAGATACATACTCTCAATTGTAGTGAATTATAAGTAAAAAGCATCCATGGTAAAAAATGTACTTAAAGTATCTGTTTAAAAATGTGCTAAAAGAGTAAAAATAAAAGTATTATGCAGAGACATTTAGAACAATTAAATTCTGATTCTGATAATGAGTTAAGTGGATATTCAGTGATTTAATTGATTTGTTAATTTTTCAACCTGTTTTGTGGTGGAGTGGAGTGTGCTGTAGTGGAGTAGAAAGTACAGATACATGCTCTCAAATATAGTGAATTAAAAGTAAAAAGCATCCATAGTAAAATGTACTTAAAGAGTAAAGAGTAAAAGTATTTTGCAGAGACATTTAGAACAATTAAAGGATGAAATATAGTGATTCTGATAGGAGTTTAGCGGATTTTCAGTGATTCAACTGATTTGTTTTTGTGTGTTGGTTTGCTCAAAGTTGGGACGTTAACTCAATTTAAATGTGCTAAAAATAAGTCTCAGCCTTTTCAGCAGGTCTCAAACCACAAAGAGAAGTACTTTTTACTTTTCAGTCCAGATCTAAAATGCAGTGGAGTAGAACGCACAGATACACGCTTTCAAATATAGTGAAATAAAAGTAAAATGTACTCAAGTGAAGATACAGATACCTAAAAAATGTACTTAAATATTGTACTTTTACTTTAATACTTCATTACTTTCCAGCACTGATGACACAACTCCTGCCCCTGCTGCTCACTCTCACCAACAGGCTTTATTCTTCTAACACACCAAATCCTACATACTTCACAGTTATTGTCTCACACGATGCTGCACTCGCGCTCCTTTTGCCAGGTGTTCTTGGTAAAACATTTGTACACGGTCGCAGGTGCGGTTTGGTTTCCATGGCGACGCAGCTGGTGGAGAGCGTGTGGCGGTGCCTACAGGTGAATCGATTTAGTGCGGTCCCATAAACTGTAATGAACTGTTTCCAAGTGCAGCCATCAATCAGATCAGCCTGAAGGACACATGTATTGGCAGTTTGAAGTTTATTCCATAGATTTCCAGTTTTCAGTTACTCATTTTTCACCTCTTGGCCCAGTCACGCCTCATTCGAGTTCCACGTCATTGCTCGGAGGATTGAAATATAGTTTTCTTATGCAATAGCTTGGTCTTCAGAATAGAGTTCCTAAAAGCAGTGGAGATGATTTGACAGCGTCTGTGTGGAAAGGATGTTTGGTTTGAAGCGAAAACAAAACAAAAAAAAAGGCTATTTCACGGTGCTCATGCCAAGTTTTCGCATGGATCAGAGCAACTGGAAAGAGATATTTAAAGGCATTTTGCAGTCTATATTTGTCTATGTTTGCCATGGTGAATGTCTGTGGAAATCGTATAGAAGCAAGTCGAGTGGCTCTGTGAAATGTTTTATTATGAGACCTTTTAATTGAAGTTTAAGGGAGTTAAACTACTTGTGGTGAGTGGGTCCACCACCTGCTGTTTCCATGGAGATGTTCTTGGTTTGCCAGTAGTAGTAGTAGTAGTAGTAGTAGTAGTAGTAGTAGTAGTAGTAGTAGTAGTAGTAGTAGTAGTATAGTTAGTAGGAATAGTTAGTAGGAATAGTTAGTAGTAGTAGTGATAGTTGCTGTCAAATATTTTAGATAAAGCTGCAGTAACCAGAGGTGGGGACTTGTAAGTCATGACTTGGACTTGAGTCAGTCTTTTTTCACAATTTTTTGTCACTATTTTTAGGACTTGAGACTTGACTTGAGAAAATTGACTAAGGCTTGGGACTCTACTTGAACTTGAAGGTCATTGACTTGGGACTTGAATCGGACTTTATGTTTTATTTTTTTATTTTTTTTTTGAAAATACTAAATAGTATTTATATTAGCACTTTTAAATTTGAATTCTTTCTGTTCTCACTGCTACTCATTCTACTACTCATATATAAATATACCATGACTTTTTAAGTACAATTTAGTTTAAAATCATATAAATTGCAAAAATCTGCACTATATTTGGTATTGTGGTTTAAATTTTATTTTATTTTATTTTATTTTTTTGACTTGAAATGACTTGAAGCTCAAAGCAGATGACTTGGACCTGACTTGAACTTACAGGCCAGTAACTCGAAACTCGACTTGGATTTTCCTGTCTTTGACTTGGGACTTGACTCAGACTTGAGGTGAAAGACTTGAGACTTACTTGAGACTTTCAAAACAACGGCTTGGTCCCACGCCTGGAAGTAACAATGAAGCTCATTTGGCGGTTCAAATCCCACTCTCAACATAAACATCATTGGTTGAATGGTCAGATCCACTGGTGCGAAGAATACTGTTGTCCTGCCCTTGGGCAAGACACTTAATCCACCATGCCTCCAGTGCCTGCATACAGTGGTATATATTTCCCTTGATGTAAAGCGCCCTGAGTGCCTTGAAGGTGGAAAAGCGCTATATAAAATTTACCAATAACATCTCCATGGAGACGAGCTGAAACATTACAGTGCCCTTTAAAGTTATATTGATACTCCTGGCAAGTAGTTTTACCTTGATAGGTTTTGTTTAATGTTAGTATTTTAGCTATTACTATGTGTGGTTCTCAAACTGTGGTAGGCGTGCTGTGTAAAATTACTTCAAGCACTCAATGCACATGCCCTTTTTTTTTCTTTATTGTTCCTGAGCTTTTTGCGTACACTCCTACCAGTTTGAAGACGCTCTGTGACTCACGAGGACTGGTGAGACAGCTCTGGATTCCAAAAACAGTCTGAGTACAAGCAGTGGGCTGTAAGGCCAAAACCATTGTGCCGTGACTGACTCCTGGCCCACACTTAACCCCTTCTGTTCCCCTCTCACCTGCTGTGTTTCAGAGCCTATTTATTTAACCATCATCTGACTTTAAAACAATGGGCTAGGTTAAAGGTAAATTATATTGTTAACTATATTATGCAAAATTGACTCTTGTGAGCTTTAAGTCATGTTATAATATTGTTCCCTCATCAAAAACATACCTGGAGTTGTCAGATGAAGAGAAGTGGTAGAGCGCTTAACTGGGTCATAAAAAAGCCAAAAGTAGTGGTGCAGATGCTCTACAAGGGTTAAACTTGAAATATTAACAAAATGTAGCCCTTACTTAAAATGAAAAAGTGGATAAGGTACAAACCTGAGGCACACCGACTGAATATATTAAAAGTCCTTAATTGCATGGAGGGACACCAGTGTGTTTCGACCAGCAAGATGGTCTTCATTAGGTCAATATTTGTTAATATTTGGAGTTGTGTTTTGTCTCATTCACACATGTTTGAGTAATGCTTTATTATCTGTCTGTCTACATCTCCAAAGCTCAAAATGCTCTGTTCTACCTTGTGACGTGAAGTGGTAGTTTTCAAGTTAACAGCTGCTTTTACCTTTAGTTCAGTAGAAATTGGTAATTCCAGAGTTGAAATTATCCAAATGATTCTAGTGAAGGTGTGTGGAGTTTGAAAACACTGTTCCTGTATTACCACATGGCATCACAAGGTGGAAAGAAGAGTTTTCAGTTTTTCAAGAAGAACTCAGCCTAAATATGCAGGATTTGTGTGTTAAACATGTGTGAATCAAACAAAACACAACTCCAGGTGTGTTTCGTGATGAGGAAAGTACATTATAATGTAGATCAGAAAATTGTGTAATATGGGCCCTTTAATCTGACTCTGGCCCAGTTAATGCAGCAGTCACTCAAACCTATAACTGGTCCAATCGCGTGTTTTCACCATACTGTCCAATATTCAAGGCAAACATTTCAGGGGGAACAATTAGGTAGCAGACCCACAACCAGAAGTTTACAGTATACCCTTAAAAGTTTAACATTTATAGGCCTATTTCTTGTTTTGTTTTTTGTTTTTTTTCTAATGATAATGACCATCATCACCAACAAAACACGGGAGCAGAGTAAGGGTGAGGCCTTCCTGTGTAAATGTTGCTGCAGCTAATTTAGGATCAATCTCTTCTTCAATCTAATCTTTATTTATCTTCTAAAAAACAACATTTTCCATTATCCATTCTTTGATACATCTCCCATCTCTAACCTCCAGTAGAGGATGCAGCTTGAGTAGTAGATGGAGCCCTGAGCTTTGGCCTGTTGACTGCTGCTCCGGCTCTGGCCTGTGTTTGTGCAGATGGCTGAAAACATACACTCACACACACACACACACACACACGCCCCACATGCACACACACATGCACACGCACACACAGAGTCACACATTAGCACAGCTGGCTGCATGGATGTGGCCCACTTACATATGGAAATAGGGCAAAGGAGACACAGCACTACAGCTTGTTGAATGTGTATGTGTTTTTACGGGCAGCTGTCTGTCTGTATGTATGCACTGCTCTGAGTGGAACAGTGAACAAATAGGAACATTTAAATTAAATTTTTTCTAACATTTTAATTTACTATGGTTTTATTTCTTCCACTGTCCATATATGTCCAAGTTTTCAGCATCTTGTAATATGCAACCAGACATTTAGACTGCATTTTATCCATTTCAAAAGATTAAGTATTTTGTTTAAATTGGTAATCGCCATAGCAACGGTCATAATTTCTCATCATTCTGAAAACCATGGATAGTCTACTTTGTCATACTGTTCATAAATACAATTAGAATTATATTTTAAAAGTTTTGCATGCATATTGTGATATTTTCTTTTTCCACTTTTTAAATTTAAGGTTAGCTTATCAATGATGTCTCGGATTTTTTAAAACTACAGATTTAAATTATTCAGTGCTTTCATTTTTGCACTTTGCTGCTGCAGCAGTGTAATTTCACAATTCTCTAACTGTATATTTACTTGCATTATATACTCACTTGTGTTACTTCTGTAGTCACAGCTGCCTCAGTGTAGATTGACAGAGCCAAGGCTGCCAATCTTCGCAATCAGTCCCTTCTTCCTCCGTTCACACAAACAAATAAAAAGATTAGTCCAATGAAATTCATTTGGTCTTCCGATAATTTATGTTATTAGGTTCTTTTTTTTCAGACCAAGAGTTTGTTTTCATACCTGACAGTTTCAACTACTCACTAGCAGTCTTCCTCAGAGTGGTCATGTGATGTTGCTGTGACGTGTCTGGTCATCTGATTTATACAGGTTTTGGTACTGTCTTTGTACTGGTGGAGGCAGGACGACAGAGCCATGTGCAGTCCAACTTCCTCAGGACAGTATCCCAGGTGTGTGAGAGTAAAAAAAAAAAAAAACTAACAGCGAAACAGCAAAAGCGTGCACATGAGCAACAAAACACAAAGCAGAACAGGAACAACTCAAATCAGCCAT